CGCCAGTCGTAATCGCGAGGACGCCTGCGCCAGCGACCCCCGCCGGCCGCCGCCCGCTGTCGACCACGGCGTCGGGCAGCTGGCGCGACTCGTGGTATTCGGCGCTCGGCTACTCGCGCTTGCCGGACGAGGCGGAGGGGCGCGGCGGGGCGGGAGGGAGCGCCGCAGGAAGCCCGACCGACAGCGCTCCTTCCAGTGCGCCGGACGGGTCGCGCGACCCCCGCCTCCTCGACCCGAGAGACACGCGGGTCACGCTCGGATTAGGCACGCCCTCGGACTGGTCGCGAGAGGTCGGGGTCGGGCGCTTCGCATCCTTCGAGGCCACCGCCGGCGCCTCCTTCGCCGAGATCGCTCTCCAGGGCGGGCCGTCGCAACGCCTCCCCGCCGCCGACGGTGCACTCCTGCCCCGCCCCCCCGCTCCCTCGCTCCCTCACGCGTGCAATGCGCCTCACGCGGCCGCGCCGGCAAGTAGGCCCTTTCCTTGCGCGGCTGGCGGCCGCTTGTGGCGCAAGCCGGCGGCGCGGCGTGCCGACGGGCGACTCGCAGCCGTCGGTCGCGTTTGTCGCGACGAGTTCGGGCGACCGCGTCGACATCCGGCTGCCCTAGGGCCGGCTACTCTTCTGCACGTACGTGAGTCGGACGACTGGACACTGGAGTCTGCTCGCTCTCGCTGATACGGTGTGTGTGCTCTACTGGTCGTTATGGATTCGGATCCCCCGGGCCCGCCGGCCGCCGAGAGCGCCGTGTGACAGGTGCGTGTGCGGTTCCCATGCTCGTGCCGGATCGGGCTCCGCCTCTTCTTAATACTTATACTTTTCGTGTGACGTGACTACAATCCTCTGTTCCTCCTGGCCTCGAGCTCGACAACACTCAACACCAACTCGCGATATACTCAACCGACCAGCTCGCTCTCGGCTCTCGCGACATGTCTCAACTTTCTCATGTGTGCGACAACTCAACACCAAACTGGAAACTCGCGACACCTCGAAAGACGAACCCATCCAGATCCAGCGGCATGTTTCGCATTCCACTCAGTAATTCCAGGCGCAGGCCCAGCAGGCTCTGAAGCCTGAAGCCCCTGAAGGTGAAGCAGCTCCCGGCCCGCGGCCGCGCGCGCATTCGCCCCTCTCAACTCTGCCGCGCAAGTCCTCAGACCCAGCCGCGAGCGCTGTCCGCTGAGTCCTGTCGCGTCTGGTCTCCTCTCAAAAGTGCTCCTTGTGGAAGACAAACTTGCCCTTGCGCGGCTCCGCGTACACAGACTTCTCGTCGGCTGCCGCGCCATAGTTACGGCGTTCGCGGCGGCGGGGCGGGGTCAGCGTGCGGCACATGGCGGAGAGCTGGTTGCTCAGCGCGCTCGGCCCGCAGACGAAGACGCCGACGTCAGAAGCGGGGAAGCTTTCGCCCAGTGCGCGGCCGACGCGGCCCCAGTCCGGCTTGCCCGCAAACTGGTTGTACGAGGCGTCGGCGGTGACTGCCTTGAGGTCGACCTCTCCCGTGATGTACCTGTCGCCAAGGAAGGGGCAAGGGGGGGTTCAGTCACGTGATCATGCGCGCGTTTCGACTGTAGCTGCGCCGCGCACGTGTTCAGTTCGAAGATGTTGGCGAGGGCCGTGTCGGCGAGGATGTCGACGAGCACGTCCTTGAAGGATTGAAACTCGCGCTCGTCGCGGCAGATCCAGAAGAAGGAGCAGCGCTTGAGCGGCGTCTCGAGGCGGTTGGTCTGCGCCTGCCGCGCCAAGGTCTTGAGGATGGACGCGAAGGGCGTCACTCCGATGCCGGCGGCGACGAGGAGGAGAACCTCGTAATGAAACACCTCCTCCGAAGAGCTGCCGTACGGCCCGTCCACGCAGAGGGACGGGCCGCATGACCGGCCGACAGGCACGCCCCCTAGCGGCGCCGGGATGGCCGGGCTGGCCTCGACCGCCCGCGTCAGGTCATCATCCGACAGCGACATCAGCCGCTTCGTGCGGATGCTCGGACGAGGTCCGCCCTCGACGTCCGACACGGCGGGTGCCACCGTGACCAAGTCCTGCTGCAGCAGGGCCTGGCTCAGCGCGAATGTCCAGTCCATGTCGGCGCGACAGCGGATGTGCAAGCTGAAGGTG